TGAAACCCAGAATATCACGAATTTAGGGTCCAGGATTTCAGTCAACTCTGAGACTTGGAACTCAAAAGACAACTTACCCAAATGCCCTCCTAGCTCGACAAAACCAACAAATACAGAGTATACAAACACTACAACTAGCCGTCACTTATTCTTTTGGACCCTTGGACGGTGGGTCACACACACACTAGGCTCACTCGAGTCTGAAATTCAGGGGCCTAGCTCCCCTGAGACTCACACAAACGCGCACCACCTCCAATAAAGGAGGAAAATACAATCACTATCAGTTACCTTCCCTTCACACAAGCAGTCAATACAAAATCCTGGAGGCGACTACCTAGCACCCCAGAATACCCTCTGGAATAATATGAAATGGGCTACCACGAGCACAGCAAGTGATATGGAATAGATGGATCACCCCAGGAAGCTCAAGGCCGTCGCTGGTCACCACCTACCTGGACTTGAGTTTGATGGAGCCCACACAGACGGCTGTCCTTCGCCGTTGATGTGCCCTTAGCGTCCCGCGGTCGTAGTCTCGGGTCCTCCGGATTTCCGTCGGCAGGCTTGGCCGAAGTCACTTGCGCAGTACAGGGTAAAAGGAACTCTGTTTGGTTTTTTATCAGCTACTTCTCTCTCTCTCCTCTTCGGGCAAATATCTTCTGTTCACTATGCTTGGGGTCAAAATGTCTTGTCTTGAGTATACCTTGTGATCAGCGGTCCAAACTTGCGATCGGCTTGCGAATCCATTGTCGCACGGCGTCGGAAGTGCCAATTGTGGGTCCTTAGACTTGGTTTAGTATGGTGCAGGACTCCCTCTCGACTCCTCGAAAATAACCAGTCTGCGCATCCACAACGGTTCTTCAAGGTCACGCATCACTTTGATTGCAGACTGACCGCGAACTGACTCGAATCCCTGAAAATCAGGTGACACTCAGGGTCATCTTCTGAAATCCTGGGAATGCTGAGGAATCTTGGGGAACTGTGGGGATTTTTGGGTGTTGGCTCGGGAAACACTTAAGTTCAGTATAGAGAGTCTGGATTTATGGTCCAAACCCAGAGAATCATCTTTGGAACTCTGGGTCACCTAGGTGAACTCTGGGTCATCGTGCGGCACTCTAGTTTTCCGTGCGGCACTCTGGGTAACAAGTCTGCTGCAGTGCAGACTCGTGTGTATCTCCTCAAAGCCACACTTTTAGTGGGTTTAGCGGCCTCCTGCGCATGGTCATGGTAGTAGTGGGTTGATTCTCAGGGTAATTTGATCCTCTGGGGCACTCTGAGCCACAGCAAGATGAGGTGTACTCTGGGATACATTCTCCAGAGACACTTTCCGCCAGACTTTAGGCACTCATCGTAAGGGAAAGTCCGCGGCTGGGCTGAGTGTTCTCTGAAATTCTGGGCGTGCACTCCCAGGATTCACACTTCCAGCCAGTTAGGCCCATCTGCGGTCAGACGCTGGATTCATCCCGAGAAATCACTTCTCTCCCACAGTCGCCATCCATGTCACACGGGTACAGCCGCGTCGTATCCAAGTCATCCACCAATCAGCATCCGATACAAACTCCAGGTCACAGAGATGACGGCACATCGTCGGCAATTTTCTGGGGACCGCCTCGTGTCAACCGCCCCTCCTGGTCCGGGTCCATCAAAGAGGGAATCACTCCGAACTGGTGAACCATGGCCAGGCCACAAAAACACACAGGTCCATCCACCGTCGACTTCGATACGGCCGTTGCACTCTGTCGACTCCCAGGGTTTCACTCACTTTGGCAGCACCCTGTTTCCCCAACGGTTGGTCAGGACCTATCTTCAAGGTTCTCCTCTCAAACTCAAAAACTCCAACGGGCAATGCGCGGTCACATCGCCATTTCGCAGATCGTCAACATGGCGGAGAGCGCGACTTTGGACGGCAAGCAAGCGACGGCGCCAGCTCAAGGCACGGCGCCTCCCGGCAGCGCGCCACCTCCGACACAGCAGCGCACCGGCGACGCCCCTGCGAGCACCGCACCAGCAGGCGGCGGCAGCGGCCAGGCGGGTAACTCAGCGTCCGGCGACACTTCGACGGGCAGCACCAAGACGGGCGTGACCAAGCGCGTCTCCTTCTCCAGCGCCACCGGCAAGACCTCCGACACGGACATGCGCGAGGCCGATGGCAACGCCTCGACTGACGCTGCAACCCAGGAAACTGGTGACGCGAACTCAGAGTCCAAGGCTCCAGACGCTGGCGGCGTGGCTCCGGACGTGGACATGGAGGGCGCCCCTGAGTTCAAGTTACCACGACACGCGACGCTAGAGGACGTCAGGGGACTCATCTTCGCAGGCATGCTTCGGCAGGAGGAGGTCGATCCCCCTGACTTCCTGGTACCTGAACGCCCCCCCGCACTGGAAACTGCCGGCTCCGCCGAATCTCAAGACCAACGCGTGGTCCCAGGAATCGTGAACGACATTCGCGCGGGCGCGTTCGCCATGGAAGGCTACGGCGGTGCAACCTCGTTGGTCGGCTTCGAGGAGCTCTCCGACGAGGATCTTCAGGGGTTGAAGGAAGTCTATGGCGCCGACGCTGGGATCGATGTCCTATGTCCACGTTGTTCGCCTCTTTCAGCGTTCGAACTGGACAATACCCTGAATTCCATCGGTATTCGACGCGAGATGGCCTCACTCCTGCGTCACTTCAACAGCACAAGGCTCGCTGAGCGCGTGTTCAAGATGACCGGTTACCTGCGTCGAGTGCTCGGGGCCTACCGAAACATGCGTTCTCTGGCTGACTCTCAGCAGGGTTTCACCGCCACTCAGGAAGTAGTCGACACGCGACGCAAGTACAAGGAACTGAAGCGCGCCTGGAAATTCACGTGCGACTACTGGTTCCTGGAGGTCCAAGAGGCCCTGGGCAAGGTGGATGACGCTGAGTCCAAGTACGAAGTCGCGCTGGGCGAGCAGAAGACGCGGTATCAAGACGAGATTGATTCTCTGGAGTCCGAGAAGGCGCAACTCAAGGCGCGCCTTGCCGACTCTGAGGCACAAGTGCGAATCCTGAAATCGCGTCTTGAGTCAGCCACCGTGGACCCCTGGAAGTTCTCCGATTTCCTTCAAGAGCACACAGACTTCACGGGTAATTGGGAGCGCCTCCACGACCTCTTCAAGCTCTGCATCAAGGACTCGAAACCTCCCGAATCCTGGGACACTGTCATCAACGTCACGGCCATGGACAAGCGCAAGGCTGCCGTGGCCCCGTACCCAGAGAAAAGTACATGTATGCCTCCGTCTTCGGGGTCTGGATCGTCCGGTCGTCCTGAAATTCTGGATCTCACGGATTCTGGCAGCAAGCCTCGCAGCGGTTCGAAGACTGGGGGCAAAACTCAGGATTCCAAGAAATCTCAGGGTTCCAAGAAAGATCAAGACCCCAGAAAATCACGGGATTCCAAGGCGCCGGGCGAGTCGCCACGGCAGTCAGCGCACCCTAAGCCTCACAAAGTTCAACGTCGCCCCAAGGATCACCAACCAGGCCGCGACTCTGTGCGTCGCGCCAGCGAGAAGACTGTTGTGTCCAAGGCGGCCGTACACACGATGCTCCCGGGGGGTGTCGTCTGGAAGGAAGTTCGGCCAGACGTGCGTCAGGCCATTCTTGCTGGGCTCAAGTACGACACAGCCATGGAGTGGATTGGCAGCGACCGGGCGGCTCACGGGCACTTCAGGCAGCCGCAGCTGATCAAGATGCTCGTGAGCATGATGTACTGGCGTCGTCTTGACCTGACTCTCTGGAGCAAGTACGTCCCTGAAGCCTACTACGAAATGGCAGACGAGCGTCTGGACAGGTGCCTTCGACGCGGTGATGTGCCACCACCCTGGGGAACCTCGATGACCACATGATGTACCCTGATGAGGACGCCGATTCCACGGTGGACGACATCGAGAACGACCTGGACTACCAGCCTCCCGCCCAGGAACCTGAGGAGAGCGCTTCTAGTAATAGCTCTGAAGAGGAGGAGGAGGAGGCCGTCCCTGAAACGCTGGAGGACATCGAGGACGCAGAGGACGACGACGACGCAGAGGACGACAATGGGGTAGAAGAACCCCTGGAAGTCAAGCCTTCTGCTAAGCGCCCCCGTTCTGAGTCAAGCAAGAAACCTCAGAGTTCCAACTCGAAGTCGAAGAAGAAACGTCGCACGGGAAACAAGACAGACACTTCTGCCACTCAGGGTTCTAGTGGTACTCAGGGGTCCAAGGCTACATCACGCCCCAAGCATCCGTCGGCGCTCGCGCGGAAATCGTACTCGGAGCTCACTTCAAGTAAGTTGATGACGGCCGACGACCCTGAGGACAACGAGACCTCCTGGCGCATCTATGGGGTTCTTGTTCAATATCCAAGTTCGACCAAGAGTGCGTCTTGCGAGACTCCCGGGTTCCCAGAGTACGAGATCCACAAGTATTCGTACGACGTTGCTCACGAGCGCTGGGACCGTGAGGCATACCAAGAAGTCCTGGATTCTGAACCCTGGGAGACTATGCTTCAGGGTCGCTTCCGAGTGTTCTACTTCCATGAGCGAGAGCTACTCTCCGCGAAAGAGCTCAAGCTGATGGAGGACGTCGTGGACGTCATGCACAAGCACGCACAGGCAATCTGGGAGCGCGGGCACTGGGTGCCTATTCCGACTGAAGAACGAGCAGAGCCACCATGGAATCTCAGCGGAAGTCGCGTCGAAACGCGCTACGCAGAGCGTACAAGACGCTCGTCGAGCGCTCGCGAAACACCCCTGGGTTCATCCCGTCGTTGTGGCACGAACCGGGTCTCTGGAAGTTCCCGGACAAGTGCTGCTACTGGATTTGGGAGGATCCCAGGGCCAAGAAACTCGGGGGAGCTAAGTGCAAGGACTTAGACGTCCAGCTAGCGACGTTGGACATTCGTGAGCCTGCTCGAGTCCAATGGAACGCGGCGGCTGACGACGATGAGTGGCTACAATACGTGCCGAACATCATCAAGCGCCACATCAAGCCCCTGGCCATCCGCAAGCTCAACCCGCTGTCTCTCAAGCACTCGTGAGAGTCAAGGTCACCTCCAAATCCCGAGAACCACCTGAATTTCACATGTCGTAGCGTAACTCTCCATAATACCCAGGATTTCATTTCGATGTCAATGTCTTCCCCAGAAATTCATCATTTTCTGACTTGTTCTCTCGGTCATCCAACTTCGTTTACTGTCGCTATGTCCTTGTAAAGCTCGCCGCCTTCATCTTCCTTCTCACACACTGCCAAAGCCTCAGCAGTATCAATCAAATCAAGTCAAATCACATTCACGTTTTCCGTCTCCAATATTCACACATTCCGCCGATTTTCCCCAGAGTTTCACAGTGTCACCCAGAGTTTCCCCTGAATATCACGTGTAACTCTGGGTCATTGTCACCCCAGAGTGCTAGAATCCTGGGTGATCATCTCCAGCCTGCATAGCCTGGAAACGGGCCCGCGCTCTTGCGCCTTGATTGAATTCGTAGAGCAGGGCACCACAGTTGAGCTTCGACACAGGCAGCCACTCGGTCTCATCATACCCCTTCCACTTCACAAGGTACTCACGAATTCGTCTCGCTGTCCGAGTCCGTTTAGTCCATCGCAAATCCAGGATTCGCTCAACTTCGTACTGATTGTTCGCAGCGTCGGGCTCCCAACTGTCTTCAGGCAACAGCGCCGCATCAAAGTCATCATCCTCGTCCACGTCGATCTCCACAGTGGGCCGCTTCGGGAATAGTGCTCTGGGTTTCAAACGGCTCACGTGTACCCAGGGATTCACGCGATATCCTGTATTCTCGACCCTGAGTTTCACGCGGAAGTTGTCATAGATTTCCTGAATTCTGAAGGGGCCATGCCACATGTGAGCCAGTTTGCGGCTCAGCCCGGGCTGCACTGTGGGTATATACAGCCACGCAGCATCACCGGCTGCGAATCCTCCCTTCAGTCGTTCGGACAGCTCTCTCCACTTCCTGGTTTGTTCGGCAGAGCGCGCGCGCTTGGCCTTCCTCTGAAGATCCTCAGCGCAAGCTTGTGCATAACTATAGTCACGCTGTAGCTTCCTGCGCCACTCGTACGCAGTGCGCTCCTGGATACTCGAGGGCCTGGGTCCTAACATTGCAGACACCGTGTCGTGTGCGTCCCAGCTGTGCACCGAAAAAAACGGAGTGTCCAGGCGAGTGGCATCGAACGATGTATTCACGGCAAACATCAGGCGCTCAGCATGGTCGTCTCAGTCACTCTGGTCCGCCTCAGCAATGTACGCTCGAATGCTGCGCACGACAGTCTGCACCGACCGCTCCTGTTGTCCGTTCGCCTGGGGGCGATACGCCAGAGTGGCTCGCTGCTTGCTACCCAAAAGTTCACGGAAACGCGTGAACACCTCACTCATGAACCTTGGGTCTTGGTCGTGCCTCAGCATCGAGCTCGCGCCGAATCTCCTGAAGACCTGCTCTTCGTACACTTCAGCCACATCTTGCGCCGTGGTGGAACTCATGGGTTTACACATGACGAATCCTGAGAACGCATCCTGAAAAAGCAGCAGGAACATGTTCCCACGGTCCGACTTAGGCAAGTGTGTCGCGAAATCCATAGACACAACTTCAAAAGGGCGCCTCGGTTCGATGTTCCCAGGGGAAGGCCCTGGATTCTGGGGGCGCCCCTTGCCGCTGGCGCAATCAACACACTCTTTGACGAAAACTTCCACATCAGCGTACATGCCGTGCCAGTAGAACTCAGAGCGCAGCTTCTCGTACGTCCTCGTGATCCCCTGGTGCCCACCCTGAAAATCTTCGTGAGCGTAATGCAGGATATCGGGTCGCAGAGCTTTCGGCACCACGAGTCTGAGTTCGTCAACCATATCTCGGGGTCGATCTCTGGTAGACCGACTCAAGCGGTACAGGACTCTGGAATCCAACACGAAATCATCAGCGACCTTCGCGAGTTTCCTGGCTTGAGCGTGCGACAGCTTCGTCGCGTCTCCTTTCAGGAAATCCTTGAGTTGCAGCAGGTGATCATCTTTGTCCTGGTGCACCTTGATGCGTCGCCAGCGTTCCGCCTGGTACTCCAGAGGTCCCATGGGTTCGCTTTGGGCTTCGATCTCCTGAGTTCGCGCCCGAGTCATTACTGCAAACACTTTGGCCGCCACAGGCAACGGAGCGCACTCAGGTCCAGGGTTACCCAGAGTTTCGACACCCTGAGAATCACTCCCCTGAATTCCAACGTTCAATAACACCTTCGGTCTTACCAACTTCTCGTGAATCTTGGACACCAACTGCAGATGTGTTCGTTCGTCAGCATCCTCCACCTTCCAGGATACACCAAGCGCGAGGGTCTTAGACGTCAGGTAGTCTGCGGCCTGGTTAAACTCTCGCTTGACATGCACCAGCCGCACAGACTTGAACTTCGTCTTCAGCACTCCATACTCGGCCAGCTTCCTCTGGAGATTTGGCTGATTGCAGTTGATGAGACCCTGGGCTTGCTGGATGGCAATCCTGGAGTCCCCAACTACAACGATGTCATGAATTCCACGCTCAATCGCCAGAGTGAGGCCCTTCAGAAGTCCATGATACTCAGCGTCGTTCACAGTCACGTCCTCCAGGGTGAATCCCTGGGCATCCAGGATTTCCCACCCGAGGACATGCCATAGGATGCAGTCGCAGCTCCCTTGTCGCGTGGAAGTCTTAGCGGCGCCATCGAAACTCAGAATACACCCCTCCTAGTCCGCTTCCAGCATTTCCATACTGATAGGCACTGGAGGTTTAACGCGCCCCTTAGCTGGGATCAGGTTTTCAGCGATCTCATCCAAGTGTTCTCTGGGGGTAATACCCGCACCCAGAATTGCAGCCAAGCCGTCTTCATCCCGTTGAACTCTGCGTATCTCCAGGTTCCAGTGGGACAACTTCAGACCCCACTTCACCGTTCGACCGTCTGCCGACTGTGAGGTCAGCAGCCACTTCAACACAGAATATCGCGTGTAGACGACGATCTTAGGGCTGCCTTCAACCAAAGTGCGAAACACCTCCAGGACTCTCAGGATAGCAATCACCTCCTTTTCCGCAATGTGATACCGCAGCTCAGCGTCATTCAGGACGCGACCTGCGAATCGAACCGGGTGCACAATCCTGTCGTACTCCTGACCCAACACAGCGGATGCTGCCCACGGGTTCGCGTGGGGAATAATCACGAAGGGCCTTGAACGATCAGGATGTCTGAGTAACGGAGTCGAAACAATCTTGTGCTTCAGGATTTCAAAGGCTTCCTGGGCTCTCGACAGGTCTCTCCTGGATTTCACTTGTTCCTCAGTCAGCTCGTACAGGACGGCCGCGATCACGGGTAGATCTTCAATGACCTTGTTGTAGTAATTCAGACTCCCCATGAAACTCTGGAAGCCTTTCAGTGTCGTCGGGAACGGCAAGTCTTGGACCCCCTTCGCGATTTCAGGGGTCGCTCGGATGCCCTCAGCACTAATCTCGTGAGAGAGGTACGGAATGGACAACTTCCCGAATTCGCTCTTGGGAAGACTCACAGAGATAATCCAGTAACGTAGTCGGAAGAGCAGCGCGTTCAGATCCTGGCACAGCAGCTCCCATGTAGGCGCACCGTGGGCGATGTCGTCGATATACGAGCTTCGACCCAGGACAGGGCCCATCTGAGAGGGAGCCAGGATGTTACGCTGAAAAACAGTCATCTCATCCGTCAACACTGAAAGTCGCGGTGCATTCTCACCTGAAACTCTGGGTTCCCCAGAGTTCAACCCCAAAAAGTCCAAGACATCTTGGTCGACCTCAGCTTCTTCCTCAGAGGAAAGCCGCAGAAATCCCCACAGACAGTTATTGAGAACTGCCTGGTAGATCAGCGGCGCGTTCTTGAGGTCAAACGGCATCCTGACCCACTGGTAGTGCCCATAGGGACAGACGAACGCAGAGATCAACTTGGCTCTCTCGGTCATCTTGATAGCCCAGAAACCACTCGCCATGTCCAAGCTCATAAACCACATCGCCGACTCAAAGCCAATCAAAAGATCATCAATAAACGGCAGCGGATAGTGTGAGAGCTTGATGAAGCCATTCACCACGCGATAGTCGATACACATCCGGATGTCGACCCCATTCTTCTTGAGGACGATCACGATTGGAGATGCCCAGGGGGACGAAGAAGTCTCGATCAGCCCGTTCTCCAGAAGCTTCTTCAGAAGTTCATACACCTTAGTCCACAGGTGTGGTGCAATGGACCTTGGACGCTGGGCAGTAGGTTTAGCGTCGCCTACATCCAGGTCACAAACCACTCCACGGGCAGGTGGGGGAGCTGCATTGCCGTCTCCCAAGAAGATCTTCTGATGATATTCCAGAATTCGCCTCACTTGGTCTTCCATCTCGGGCGTCGTTTTCCCAGGGACTCCAACATCTGCCTCCTCGATCTTGCACTCAGGGGTCAAGTCACGCATCTCAGGAAGCATACCCAACTGGTCACGCAACTGAGAGAGCAACTCACTTCCTTCACGTATGTAGACCGCAGGCTCGTAGTCGAGGTCCTCTGTCGAAAGCCGCATGCAGCGCTCATATTCCTGCTTCAGCTTCTCCAACGGAGTTCCCGGCATCCCTGAGATCGGGATATCCCACTAATCTTCAACAGCACCCTTAGAATCGTCGTCATCCACATCGAATCCCAGAGAATCACCTTCGTCGCACCACTGACCCTGAGAATCACTGCCAACTTCAACCTGTAAACTCAGGGTTTCAGCGGCCGTATCACCTTCAGGACTCATGCCCTCTGGCGTTCCGACAGTCTGCGAGGCAACATCGGTCACCGCCTCCTTCAGAACGTCACCCAAGTCACTCGTATCAACAGCAACATCTCGGAGTTCAGGAGGGTCTTCAGGAGGCACTCCTTCAGTCTGAGTTGCAGCGTCTTCAGCGAAGCGCACGCAACGAGGCTTCGGTTTCCTGAGAATCGAGGCAAGCAGTGCCATGTCGGGGCCCTTTGCAGGTCGCGGCAGAATCTTCGTAGGCCACTGATACTCTGGGGTCTCGACACAGGATGGCTCAAGCGCAGCCAGGCGTTCCGCCCGAAGTCTGCCCTCACGCGACTGAACACTCTCCAGAATGAGCGTCTGCCACTCCCGATACGCAAACGAACCAGGGCGCACAAAGCGTCCGGCACGTGGGAAGAAGCCGTACTCCACAATTCGGGCGACCGGCGTTCTGTCGTGAATCCAGACGTCCTTGTCCGAGATGTTGACCACCTTCACGGCGACCGGCCAGGATCTCGCAGCGTAAATCAGGTGCGTTACCCAGAGGTCACCTCGTCCTGCCCACACAACCTCACGCTGTGGGTTCGTCGGTCCATACGAGATCTTCACCACCTTGGATTCCCCAGGGGCAAACTACCTGTGGTTTCCACGGGCATGTCGACACCCAGGCGATCCTCTGGAGTCCATCCACACATCATAATCGCCTCTTCATCCGAAAGTGTCACGAGACCTTCGCGAACACTGATCCTCACTCCAGCTGCAAACATGAAACCCATACCCAGAAGAACTTCGATCCCTTCGCCGATGTTAGCAATCCAGACATCCAGGAGATATATCACCCTCGAACCGAGAGTAATCTTCACCTGAGCACTGGCACCGATGTACGTCGGAACGCCTCCCATGCCAGACACCTTGGTTTGCTTGTGCGACTTGAGTGTGAGTCCGAGCTTACGCGCTAAGTCGAAGCTCACAATATTCACAGTCGCACCGGTATCCAGGAGAACTCTCGTCCGGCAGTCGTTCACAGCACCATGCATCATCGCCACATCACGTTTCTTTGGGTCAGGATCATTGTTTTCCCACCATCCGTAGCGCTCTCCAGGGTTCAGCTTGTACTCCACAATTTCTTCAGAGTTCACCGACCCAGAGTTCGCTTGTTCAGGATGCTGATTTTCAGGGAGAGTCATGAAATCCTGAGTCAAAGTAGTCATGCATTGTTGGTTATCCTGGGTTCTTGTTCTCAGCTCCGGGCCTACATACACTAGAACACATAACTCTGGGGCCTTCTTCAGCCCGGCGCGTACTGGGTCCCCACCCAGCGGGCTTATTGGTTCGACGGCCTCCCAGAGTTTGCTTCGCCATCCAAGAGTTTATCCAGGATTTGGCTCGGCATGTCCTTCAGTGCATCTTGGCGGGCGAGTTTCTTCACAGCTTCCAGTGTCTTCCAGTCTTCACACGGTTTCCCGAGATGCAGTTTGCCACAGTTCTCGCGCGACACAAGTGAGTCGGATGACCCGCTTCCAGGCAGCGATCACACTTCACGTCTTTCCAGCAGTTTTCCTCTGGGTGCCCGCACTTGCCGCACTTCTCGCAGAACTTGTCCCAATTCGGGTTTTCGCGGCGAGGGGAACGGAATCCAGAGTTCGCGTTCGGTCCTGGTTGGGCGTTCGGTGGACGCCATCCCATGTTATCCATCACGCGATAGACCTCGTTCGTCAGCGTCTGAGTCCACTCGGCACCCTTCATACTCGCCAGACTCCCACGCTAGGCGTAGAAGCTTCTTCTCCAGAGATCTCACGAGTTGACCCTGAATTCGCGCTCGCACTTCGGGCAGAAACTCTGGATTCGTCCGTGATTTCCTGGAAACGCGCGTGAATTTCAGGGTCTTCGTCTGACTCAGAGTCAGAGACATCGCCCCTAGTCACATACGCACGTCCTTGTCGCTTCGGCTTGAAACGTCCCTCAGGAATGTTGTCGGCACGAAAGTCACGAACTCTGGGCGGCGGAGCATCATGGTCTCTGCGGCTCCAGACATCTTCGTCCTGTTCCAGAGCGTACTCTAGATCAGCGATACACCTGGATCTCTGGTCCTGCAGCGACGTCTTGAGGCGCGTGTCCCTGAGTTTCGTGATGAACCTCCGGATGTGTTTCTCCAGGCGCTTCGAAGACTTGCGAAAGTCAATGTCAGCCTTCCCAGCGGCGGAATTCAGACGATAAAAGAAATCCAGGGCGCTCTCTGAGTTCTTCATCTCTATCGTGAAGTAACGTTCAGAGTACGACGAGCGCGCTTTGCAGTACTTCTTCCTGAATGCAGACGCCAACTCCTTCCAGTCACGCTGAGTGTGTTTGGGCAACTGGTTGAACCAGTCACGCGCAGCTCCCGAGAGTTTCAACTTGAGTTCCTGAATTCGCATCTTCGTAGACCAACCTCCCTGAGCCGCCATGTTCGCAAAACGTTCCCACCAATGCACGCGTTCCCTGAGTGACGCCTTAGTATCGAACTCACCCAGAGTATTCGAGTTGATGTACGGTCTGAACGTCAGGAGCGTAGTGCCAGCTTGAGCCGTAGAGGCCGTCGACAGGTTAACCCCAGGGTTCCCATCCGAACTGTCATCCGAACTCTCAGAGGACGAGTCATCATCGCTGGAATCGGAGCTTGGGTCTGCGTCCGAGGGTGGATTGACATCCTGACGCTTCTTCTTCTGCTGCTGGTGTTTCTTGGGTGCAGAGCGCTTGGAGTCTGTTTTAGAGTCCTGCGAGGCATTAGAGGTCGCTGTTCTCCTGGGATCCGACGTCTTCCCCAGAGACACAGGCTCGAGCTTGACGTCCTGCGTCACCTTGGTCTCCGTAGCGCCATGTCCCCGCTTGACGCGCGCGATTCTGCCGGAAGTGTCGGCGGGAGTCTGCGCGAGGGTCGCTCTTAGCTGGGAGGCGGCGACTTCGGACGTGTTCTTCGGATCAGCTGTCTCCCGTCTCTGGCCTGTGACACTTGCGTTTCCGTTGATTACGCCACTGGATTCTTGGGGTCGGGTTGCAACTTCAGGGTTCTGAGCCACTGACAACCTCACATTTGTTGCCAAATCAGGGGCGACGGTTGCGCGACGCGCTTGAACTTGGGCCAATGTTGCCCGAAAGTCGCGCACTTGGCCGGCGTGGAAGCGCTGGATATTCTCGGAAGACTCCCGCTCTCGCTCTTTCTCCGCCTCAAGTTCTTGGACCTTCTGCTCCATTGTTGACATTTGTTCCTTCCAACCGGCGTAGGTCTCGGAGACCCAGCGCGCGCGCTCCGAGTCGGCTTTGGCTTCGTGCCGTCGCCAGCGCTCGGCGTAGGCGGCATCCAGGCGCTCACGCTCAAGACGTACAGCTTCCGTGATACTCTGGGTCATCCCCTGAGTTTCAGTGGAACTTTGGGTCTGGCGAGCCTCCACGTCCTGCGCACGCCGTTCCGCTTCTCCTCGGGCGATCTCAGCGTGGACCAAGTGATCCGTAAGTTCCTGGATCTGGCGACGCGCGTCCAGGTTACGTTGTTCCCTGAGGCACTCGCGCTCCAAGGCATCCAGGCATTCTATGGCGAGAAACTCGCGTTGCTCCTGTTCCATGCGGGCCTGCCACTCCTGCTGTTGTCGCAAGACGTTCAGCTCGATTTGGGCGGGCCCAGACCTCGCGGACACGGACGAAACTGACCCAAGATTCCTGGATCCACTCGAGCGGCTCGACGCAGATGATTTTCTGGATTTCGTCGAGCGTCGAGAGCGCACCTCGCTCTTAGAGCTCTGGTGTTGACTCCGCTCATCGGTGCTGACATCCCTTGGACCACCAAATCTAGCAATCGGGACAGAAACCCTGAGTTTCGGCTCGGAAGTCGTGGCTGAAATCCTGGGGAGACCGGTCTTCCTGGGTGCGATCTCTGGGTCAGAGTGCACCGACGATGCCATCTCAACGTCATCTTGGTCGACTGACACAATACGCGACGGGATGACTGTCCGGGTGACCTGAAATCCAAGATCACCGGCAGCTGCAAAGCCACCGGCGCTCTGGGCCACAAGCGCTAGAGCTTCAACTCGTTGTCCAAGCGACATCATCAACGAAGACGAAGAGCTACCATAAGACGTTTGAACGCCCGAGGCAGTACTCTCATCCGAAGCGCGCGAGGTACCGATGACATTTGGCACCGCGCCTGGGGTAGCGTCCTTGGCTTCCGCCTCCAGAGAATCACGTCCATTGGACATGGAATTCAGGGGAGTGGAATTCTGAAGCGAGGCACCAGTCGAAGACTTGTACGCTGGAAGAGAGGACAGCGACGGTGTAGACAGCGCGGATGGCGTTGACGGGACTTGTGGCCGAGGCGGTCCATGCTGAGTACGCTTGGATCGTGGCTCACCATCACTCGACCCTCGTGGGCTCCGTGAAATTCTGAGTCCAGTGACTCTGAATCTCAGGACAAACTGTCGGCCCAGTAGATCCGCATCGTAGTCCGTCATCAATAGATCACCGTCTCCATCTTCCTTGTGGTAGTCCAGTCTTGGTGGTTGCTCTTGGGCGCTTGGTGCGGCGTGATCTTCAGAGTTTACCTTGAAATGCACACCAGCTATCACCAATCTCCACTCGACCAGTTCCACACACAGCGATGAAATTCTGGGTTTCCTCCATGACAGAGCGCACCAGACTTTCTGGAATCCTGGAAGCACGCGTTGAAGACCAGCCAGGGATCAAATTGACAAACTCAAACCCGGCTTCGAAGAACAGAGTCTGCAGAATGGCGACGCACTCGCGGGTGGTCATGATACTCTGGGGAATCGTAGTCGCCATGAGATCCTGAGCAGTTCCGACGCCCCACCGGGCGAGGTGAAACTCAGAGATCCAGGCTTCATCTTGATTCTCCAGAGACAAACGCCACTTGAGGTAGTCTCCCGTTGCGTACGCGGCCGCGAAGTACGAGTTGGCATCCGGTTTCGGAGTAGGCCACTCATAAACGACAGTTGGCGGCGTCACCTTCCCAGGATTCACCTCTTCCCAGCGTCGAACTTCACGTCGAACGTACAGCACCATGCTCCCGGCGTCCAACGCCGCTGCTCCCGACTCGGGAGCAGGCGCAGCAACTTCCCGGATGTCGCTTTCAGGCGTCTTCCTGGTGCCGCTTGCAAACTTGGCGCTGAAACTCTGGGTTCAGGTGGTGCGAACCCAGAATTCACCTTGGAACTCTGAGTCTTCGCCTCCTCCTTCGCTCGCACGGGCTCCGACTTCACTTCCACAACAGACTCGTCCGAAGATGAGACCAAGTCAATCACCCCCGGGGGCTCAACCGCATTGGCGCCTCCCTCAGACGCCTGAGCACCACCCTCGCGGGTGTGCTCCTCTGGGACTTCAGGAATCCGCGACCCAGAATTCACCTCCGTCGAACCTTGGAACCCAGGGGAAACTTCTTCCTCCTGAGTTTACGATCCAGCAGCAGGCTGACCTTGGACTGCAGACGCCTCGACGTCTCCACCTTGCACTGCCTCGCTCTCGCGAGCAGCCTTCTTCGCCTTCCGAGCGTCGCGGACGACTGTTTCCAGGTCCTTGTGCTCCTCAGGCTCCATACCTTGAACACGACGCGACTGACGTGACGCCTCACCGCGTCCTCCGTCACCGCGTCCACTCTTCTTCACCCCTCGTCCTCCAGGCATCTTGGTAGCTTGAAGTTGACGGGCACTCAACACTTCTTCAACACTTGATTCCGGTGAAATCCTCGACAATCGAATCCGGGCACGCGCACCAGCTGAGGCGAGGCCGATGAAACCTTTGTCGCCCAGGGGGGTTCGTATAGCGCAGCCCAAGACTGTTCCCCAGGGGTAGACCCAGAGAATCGACTTGAGAGTCAACAGCAAGGAGATAGACCCAGAGATTCGCAGCCGCAAAGCTTTAAACCCTGAGAATCACACTCCTTGGTTGGCGTGGGTACCTTGTGTAATCCCTGTCGGCTCGTTTGTCTTCGACGGAACGGCACTCCACCGGTTGAAAATGTAGCCTCGAAGAAGTGTGGGAGCGCACGTCTACTTCAGAACGCACCTCCACACCAAAAGGCAAACCCAGAGAATCAGATCCCCTGAAACCCAGAATATCACGAATTTAGGGTCCAGGATTTCAGTCAACTCTGAGACTTGGAACTCAAAAGACAACTTACCCAAATGCCCTCCTAGCTCGACAAAACCAACAAATACAGAGTATACAAACACTACAACTAGCCGTCACTTATTCTTTTGGACCCTTGGACGGTGGGTCACACACACACTAGGCTCACTCGAGTCTGAAATTCAGGGGCCTAGCTCCCCTGAGACTCACACAAACGCGCACCACCTCCAATAAAGGAGGAAAATACAATCACTATCAGTTACCTTCCCTTCACACAAGCAGTCAATACAAAATCCTGGAGGCGACTACCTAGCACCCCAGAATACCCTCTGGAATAATATGAAATGGGCTACCACGAGCACAGCAAGTGACCCAACTAGGATATGGAATAGATGGATCACCCCAGGAAGCTCAAGGCCGTCGCTGGTCACCACCTACCTGGACTTGAGTTTGATGGAGCCCACACAGACGGCTGTCCTTCGCCGTTGATGTGCCCTTAGCGTCCCGCGGTCGTAGTCTCGGGTCCTCCGGATTTCCGTCGGCAGGCTTGGCCGAAGTCACTTGCGCAGTACAGGGTAAAAGGAACTCTGTTTGGTTTTTTATCAGCTACTTCTCTCTCTCTCTCCTCTTCGGGCAAATATCTTCTGTTCACTATGCTTGGGGTCAAAATGTCTTGTCTTGAGTATACCTTGTGATCAGCGGTCCAAACTTGCGATCGGCTTGCGAATCCATTGTCGCACGGCGTCGGAAGTGCCAATTGTGGGTCCTTAGACTTGGTTTAGTATGGTGCAGGACTCCCTCTCGACTCCTCGAAAATATCCAGTCTGCGCATCCACAACGGTTCTTCAAGGTCACGCATCACTTTGATTGCAGACTGACCGCGAACTGACTCGAATCCCTGAAAATCAGGTGACACTCAGGGTCATCTTCTGAAATCCTGGGAATGCTGAGGAATCTTGGGGAACTGTGGTGATTTTTGGGTGTTGGCTCGGGAAACACTTAAGTTCAGTATAGAGAGTCTGGATTTATGGTCCAAACCCAGAGAATCATCTTTGGAACTCTGGGTCACCTGCACTCAGGGAGGTGAACTCTGGGTCATCGTGCGGCACTCTAGTTTTCCGTGCGGCACTCTGGGTAACAAGTCTGCTGCAGTGCAGACTCGTGTGTATCTCCTCAAAGCCACACTTTTAGTGGGTTTAGCGGCCTCCTGCGCATGGTCATGGTAGTAGTGGGTTGATTCTCAGGGTAATTTGATCCTCTGGGGCACTCTGAGCCACAGCAAGATGAGGTGTACTCTGGGATACATTCTCCAGAGACACTTTCCGCCAGACTTTAGGCACTCATCGTAAGGGAAAGTCCGCGGCTGGGCTGAGTGTTCTCTGAAATTCTGGGCGTGCACTCCCAGGATTCACACTTCCAGCCAGTTGGGCCCATCTGCGGTCAGACGCTGGATTCATCCCGAGAAATCACTTCTCTCCCACAGTCGCCATCCATACAGCCGCGTCGTATCCAAGTCATCCACCAATCAGCATCCGATACAAACTCCAGGTCACAGAGGTGACGGCACATCGTCGGCAATTTTCTGGGGACCGCCTTGTGTCACTGGTACACTTCGATAAACTCAAACGACGAATTTCGTCTACTCCGGTGCTTGCTATCGCCGACTTCAACAAGCCGTTCTTTATGCGAATGGGCGCCAGTGATTTCGCGATTGGAGGTGTTCTTTATCAGTTGGAAGAGCACGATGGCCAAGTCGTGGAGCGCCCAGTAGCATTTCAAGGTCATAAATACAAGGGCGCAGAGATGAACTACTCGATTAGGGAGAAAGAGCTGCTTGCAATATTGTTTGGGCTGCGTGTGTGGCGCATTTACTTGCTCGACAAGCCGTTTGTGGTGGAGACCGACCACAAGTCGCTCGAAAATGTGTTTTCGCAGAAGAGTATCTCTCGACGAATCGCACGCTGGTACGATGATGAACTGAGCGAGTATGCAGTCACGTTTAAGTACATACCCGGCCCATCGAATACTGTCGCCGACAGCATCTCGAGGCGCGCGGATTTTCAGGAACAACAGTCGCTTAATGCCATTATCGCGGCTTCTGAGGTGCACTCGCGGGTTAAGAAGGGCATGATTTTGCTGGTTAAGGAAGTCACTGAGCGATATATGGATGATCCTCACACTGCGATGATTGTACGCGCGTTGAAAGGAGATGCGTTGGCTACGACGGAGAAAGTCAAGTTCGTTGATCGCTATTCCCTTGACGGGAAGAAGTTGATGTACTGCGGGCCGAACGATGAAGCACCCCGGCTGGTGGTACCTGCTATTGACGAATTACCCCCCCCCCCC